CTTGGGGCAATGTGTGCCCATCATCCTGCAATGGGCAATACAGAGAGAGGACCAGAAGTTTTCTCTCTTGTTATATAGCTACATAATATCCTTGATTTTACCTCTTGGCCTGCAAAGCCCCAAATATTTGTGATCTGGCCCTTTACAGAACAAGTCTGCCAACCCATGAGCTATAGGGTAATCTGTAAGATGGTGGAGTGTGGAGTTAGGTGAGCTGGGTTCATCCACTTCCCACTGGCGTGACCTTGGGCAAGGTCCTTAACTTCTTTGAGCCTGTTTCCTCACCTGTAAGACTGAGTTCATAGGGATAGCAACTGCTGCATGTATATGTATGTTAGATGACTTGCGAACAATAACCTATCAGGCAATGTGAGCAGATTTAGCAATTTCTGCATGTAATAAATAGTCCCAGATGTATGTCATCAAACAGCATTTACTGAGTCCCTTTTCTGGGCCAGGCCCTTTGCCAGGCCATGGTCTGGAAGGGAAGACAGATTTGCTAAGAAAACAAAGACAATGCAGTATGTCAGTTGCTCTAACAGGACACAGCTGTGGGACAAAGGCGAGTGTGTCCAAGTCCCTCTTTGTAGGTTCAGACAAGGTTTCACTGATGAAATGAGCCTTGAACCGGCAGGCAGATGAAGGTTATATCTGGCGGAGGGAACTGCACATACAGAGGCATGACGGCTTACATGAACTGCACATTTCTGTTGGTGGCTCGGCAAGAGTTAGATAGGCCTTGAGTCTAAGTAGGAGGTGTTTGGAAGATGAGGCTGAAGAGGTAGGCAGGCCCCAGGGCCTGGGGGGCCTTATATGCTATCCCAAGAGTTTGGGGGTGTCTCCTGTAGGTGTTGGAGAGCCACTGGAGAAAGCTGAACAACAAAAAAGGATCAAGATCAAAATATGCCTTTCAGAAACATCGCTCTGGCTCAGTGTGGAGAGCAAACCGAGGAGCAGTCAGGAGGCTGCGACACACTCAAGAGAAAACTGGTGAAACCGAATGAAGGCAGTGGGCAATGAGAATGAAGAGAGGCAGGTGGCTGGGCTATGCAGGAGGTAGGACTGAAAGGCAAGAGCCACCCAGGAAGTCCCCAGGTTTTTGGCTGGGGCAGCTAGGTGAGAGTAAGACTATAGCTACAATAGAGGAGGCAGGGAAACGGAGCAAGGTAAGAAGCTCTGGAAAAACAATTCCGAGTTGAGTCTGTGGCCACGCCCCCAGAATGAAGACAGAGCTGCAGCCCTCTGCTATGTTTCCGCTGGGGAAATAAGCACCACCACCACATTTCCCAGGCAGTGCCCTTCGGGGGGGCCAGGAGGGGTTTGAAGAAACAGGGGACTTTTTTCTTCTCCCTCTGTTCACTTACTATGGCTTTTAGGTGAGTGTGCAGATTCAATGCAGGGAAACCTGTGGTTAACGCACTTTTCTAGCAGGAAACCCAAACGAGAAGGGTGACCCAGGCCGATGGCCAGCACCGGTTCAGACTAGCCCTCCAGGATTCTTACGTTGCAGAGGACCCTGAGCCTTTGATGTGGGGGCTCAATTTCAGGCCCTCTCTGCAAGATCTCATCTGACCAAAGTGTGACTAACTCCAGTTTTTTTTTAGTCATTATTGTGAATTTACTCCTAAGGATTCTTTAGAGAAAGGAAAACCCTTTTGGGTTTTTCATATTTGGAATAATCAGGGACCGTTTCTTACATGTGCCTAGTCCTTCACAGCTTACAGAGTGCTTTCTCAGCCACGGTGATTTGCTATTTACCTCAAAACAGGGCTTATTTTTCCATTCTGTGGGTTTTGAAACAAGACTCGGAGTGAAAATGGCTTTTTCAAGATCCCATAGCTAGAAAGCATAAAATTATTCACCCATATTTGATAATATTCCATATTCGCAAAACAATGAGGAAATGGGAGTTTCGGATACTAATGGTGAGGGTATAAACTGGTCTGGTCTTTTCATGAGGGCTCCCTGCCAGTAAGTATTAAGTGTGGTTACCAGTTACCTGGCAGCTACACTTGTGGGTTCCTGTCTTAACTTCAACTCCCCTTAGACATCAGAGCTTGCACGCAGGGAGCTGGGAAAAGTCAACCAGTTGAAATGAAGGTCAGTACAAGGGCACGTTATCCAAGCTGGTCACCACCGCCTGCAACTAGGGCTTGATCCTGCTGGTACCCTCTAAAGATACATTGAGAATGTCTAGGAGAAAGAAGAGAGAGGCATTTATTCACAGGTTCCCACCCTACATTGGTCAATGATTGTCCCATAAAATGTTCACTCTTTCACACCTCCAGGTTTGCCAAGTGGATTCCCAGAGGGATCCCAAGGAGGTATTCATGTAGTAATCATATACTTCAAAGTAAAAAAGTCTGGGGAGGACCCTGGGCCCGGGGACTGGAGTTGGCCCTGGAACATGGATCTCCAAAGTGAGGACTAATTTTCAGAGTCTGACGGGTAGGGCTCTGTGGAACCGGAATCATGGAGAATAGAATCCAGCCCCTGAAGGTGGGGAGAGAGGCCTGGCAAGAGATAGGCAGGATGCCTTAGTTTTCTGCCATTGGAGACTTCCCATATTCCATAGCACAGGGGGCAGAAAACATCTGATAACCTGCAAGGCAGTGCTACCAATGCTCAGAAAGCAGCAGAGACAAGGCCTGCCATGCTCAGGCCTGGGGCCAAATACAGAAAGTTAAACAAGTGATTATGAAAAAACAGTGGTTCTCCAATTTTGTGGGCATGAGACTCATCTGGAAGCTTAATAGAGATTTAAATTTCTGGGCCTCACTCCCCAAAATTCTAATTTGGGTCTTTTTATTTTTTTTTAAAGATTTTATTTATTTATTTGTCAGAGAGAGAGAGAGAGCAAGCCCAAGCAGGGAGAGGGGCAGGCAGAGGGAGCGGCGGGCAGAGAGAGAAGCAGGCTGCTTGCCGAGCAAGGAGCCTGATGCGGGACTCTGTCCCAGGACCCTGGGATCATGACCTGAGCAGAAGGCAGACGCTAACGACCTAGCCACGCAGGCGTCCCTTAATTTGGGTCTTGATAAGGGCCTGGAATCTGCATTTATAATGGTAATTCTCTGTGTAGGTGATCCACCGCCACACTTGAGAAACACTGCCCTAGGGCCTAGGGCAGGAACTGTCTCATTTATCTCTGATTCCCTCCCCAGTACCTGCCACATAGGGACCAGATAATTGTCCATTGAATTGAATTGTTCAAAAGCAGTGCTCCAAAAGGTATGTTTCATGTGGAGTCAGCTCAAGTCTGTAGCCTTTCTCTACCTGCAGGCTCTGGGCAACAAGAGCAAACATAGACAAGTGGGATTCCATCAAATTAAAAACCTTTTGCATAGCAGGAGCGCCTGGGTGGCTCAGTCAATTAAGTGTCTGCCTTCGGCTCAGGTCATGAACCAGGATCCTGGGATGGAGCCCTGCATCCGGCTTGGGGAGCCTGCTTCTCCCTCTCCCTCTGCCGCTCCCCCTGTTTGTGCTCTCTCGCTCTCTGTCAAATAAATAAAATAAAATCTTAAAAACAGAAAAAAAACTTTTCGCATAGCAAAAGAAACAATCAACAGAATGTAAAGGCAACCTACAGAATGGAAGAAAATATTTGCAAATCATGTATTTGATAAGGGGTTAATATCCAAAATAAATAGCAAAATAAATAAATAAGTACCCCAATTTAAAAATGGGCAAAGGACCTGAATAGATAGGTCTCTAAAGAAAACACAAATGACCACCAGATATATGAAAAGTTGCTCAACATCACTAACCATCAGGGAAATGCAAATCAAAACCACAATGAGCCATCACCTCACACTTGTTAAAATGGCCATTATCAGATAAAAGATAACAAGTGTTGTCGAGGATATGGAGAAAAGAGAACTGTTGTACACTGTTGAGGGAATGTAAACTGGTACAGCCTCTACAGAAAGCAATATGGAGGTTCCTCAAAAAATTAAATATAGAACTCTCTTATGATTCAGTAGTTCCACTTCTGGGTCTATAGCCAAAAGAAATGAAATCAGAATCTTAAGAGATAGCTGCACTCCCATGATCATTTCAGCATTATTCACAATAGCCAAGATATGGAAACAATGTAAATATCAGCAGATGAATAAAGAAAATGTGATATATAAATATTCACACAATAACTGAAATATAAATATAATATAAACATAAATATATAAATATATATCTCCTGCCATTTGTAGCAACAGGATGAACCTGGAGGACAGTATGCTAAGCGAAATAAGCCAGACCCAGAGAGATAATATTGCATTATCTCACTTGTATATGGATTCTAAAATAGTCAAACTCATAGAAGCAGAGAGAATGGTTGTTGCCAAGGGCCGGGGGGAGGAGGAAATGAAGAAATGTTGGTCAAGGGGTACCCATCTACCTTCTGGAAGTCGGCCTGGAAGGTGAGGGCAGGAGAGGCAGTTGTAAATAAAACAGAAGAGCAGCCTCTCTTCCTGGAAGAAACAAAGAAAAGGAGAGCACTGGCCTGTCTGGCTGTGATCTGTGATTGCGTACTTAATGATAGAAAAGTCGGACTTCGTTCAGGCAACAAACGCTCACTAAAACGTTGGGGAAGAAAGCAAGGATCCCCAGCTGCGCACGCGCACTGTGACTTTCGGCCCGCGTCAGACCCCGCTAGGTCGGAAACCTTACGCAAAGTCTCCGACGAAAGACGTAGGAAAAGCGGCGAGGCAAACGCAGGCTCTTGGATCACGTGACGCGACGAGAGCGTCGTTGACTCCTCCCCCTCCAAGATGGCGTCCTTGCTGCAATCGGAGCGGGTTCTCTACCTAGTCCAGGGAGAAAAGAAGGTTCGGGCCCCGCTGTCGCAGCTTTATTTCTGCCGCTATTGTAGCGAGCTGCGGTCGCTGGAATGTGTGTCTCACGAGGTAATGCAGTCGGCCCGTGAAGAATGTGTATATGTTGGGGGAGAGGGGGGAAGGGTTCGTCCTAGTCACCGCGACTGGCGGGTAGTCATTTTCCTGGCTTGCTGATTGGTTATGTCTTCCGTCACTCAGATTTGCTGTTGATTTAATTTGCTTATAATTTGTCATTTGGAAAGAAGGACGGCCTTGGGTGGGGCTGAGCGGATCTTTAGGTTCTAGAGCGCTCTCGGATTGGACAAACCTGACTTTAGGGACCCTGGCGGTCTCCTGGGGTGTTTGGTAATTGGGTGGGTTGGGGAGGAAGATGTGGGGTGGATTATTCAGGCCACTTGAGGGGCGAGATCCATAACTGATTGTAGGGTGGAGCCCACAGGCATTCTCATTCATGCCCCTCCCATCCTGGAAGTTCAGCCCCTACTTTGGCCAGAAACTGGGCGTTGCTGTGTTTTCTGGCTCAGGCCAAGGCCTGCAGCAGGGAAGAGGTCGGGTTGGGGCGAGTTGGGTGAAAAGCTCTTAGAATAAGGTCTGGTCTAAGAAGCTCATGGCGCTTCTCCAGAGGGTATGGTGCTGTCCTTCGCAGGCACAAGTGGGCGTTGGAAGTCGGATTGCTCAGAACGTAAAACGCCCCACCCCATAAAAGAAAGAAACAAAAAAACAAATAAGAAAATCCCCAAACTTCTACAGCACTTGGCACATCTTGTTCATTCCGTAAGCTTTGGGTTTTAAAAGACGAGAAAAACATAAATCCTGCTGTTGAGTGACTCAGTCTAGTTAAGGAAAAGCTGCTGGTAACAGTTGCTGCTTATTCAGAGCTTTCTATATGCCACGTGGTTTATGTAAACTCCTTTAATCATCCTACAGGCCAATAGAATGGATATTATTAAAAAAAAAAAACAACTGTAATTAAAGCAACACTGTGTTTGCCCTAGGTCACACAGCCAAAACTTTGGGGGTGGCAGGGAGGACCAAGATTTGAAACTCAACAGCAGCCTTTCAAATCAGGATTTGAAACATGATTCAGAGAACATTGAAAATCCCTGGACTGTTAAAAATGCATATGAAAACGTGTCCTATACTATAAGCTGTTTTACACATTATTATTAACAATTTTATTGGGTGTATTTTTCATAATATTAAGAATAGTCACAGAAAGCAGTTAAGTAATACAAGAGAAAAATCAATGCCATATAATATACATGATATTTCTTGTATTTTTTTCTTCATTAGCATTTTCTCTGTGTGTATCTGTTTAGCAGGTCCTTTGTCTTTTTTATGCTTTCCTGTTGCAGCTCCACCTCCACCTCCACCTCCACCTCCAGAATATGTTGGAATAGATTCCCACTTGATGGTCATTAGAGAGCTCAGTCTCCATGATTTCTAAGGATATCTTGAGCTAGGACATTCTGTCTTACTGCATCTTTTACAGACTCATGTGTACCTCCACCTGTGAAGTGGAGACCGTTTAGGGTTTGGGGAAGGATGGGGCTAGGGAGGGCTGGAGGAGTCCAGAAAGTTCTAATGGAGAACATGGGATTGGAGCTGCACATGAAGGGACAGGCAGAATTTGAAAAGAGCCACAAGAAGGAACAGATTATAGTTTGCCTTTTATGATGAGTAAGTGCAGATATTAGTTAGCAATACTGTGTTTTATGTTCCTGGAGATTATTTGAGCAGCGACTTTATTTTTTCAAAGGTGGTCCTGTGTATAGCAGATGATGAAAAAAGAAGCCAGTTTCTGTCATAGTATTTATATTCATTTAAATCTGTCTTTACATCTGTAGGTGATTAGAGTTCTAGAACTGTCAAATAGGATCTACCTACATTAAAGAAAATAATTATTCAGAGCTTAAAAAATACAGTGAATTTATGGGGCGCCTGGGTGGCTCAGATGGTTAAGCCTCTGCCTTCGGCTCAGGTCATGATCCCAGGGTCCTAGGATCGAGCCCCGCCTCGGGCTCCCTGCTCCGCGGGGTGTCTGCTTCTCCCCCTCCTTCCTGCTCGAGCTCTCTCTCACTATCGCTGTCTCTCTCAAATAAATAAATAAAATATTTAAAAAAAAATACAGTGAATTTAATTTTCTTCTGTGTTTTTGAGTTAAATACAATAAGACTATCTTGCTAGTTTAGTAGTTTAATTTGCTATTTAAAAATCTCTAACCAGTTGGCTAAAGCTGATTTTGTAAATGTTAATTTATGCTTTTGTGAACATGTAATACTTTAGTAATGAGAAAACTTTTAAAGTCTCCCTTAAGTGTGGTCAAGTTAAAACAGTATAAAAGGATAGAAGGATATTTGATCACAGCTTCACAAATTGGGTTATTTTATTTATTAGTCTGTTCATTAGATTATCGTAGAGTTCTTCTTTTCCATAGACAACTTTTAACACATTATTACATAAAATCCTGATGAAAGGGAACAGGTAAGATCAGAAAGGAAAAATGGAAGGGTTTTAGGAAATACAGAGGATAAGAAAAAACATGGTTGAAGAATAAACCCTAGGGCGCCTGGGTGGCTCAGTTGGTTAAGCAACTGCCTTCAGCTCAGGTCGTGATCCTGGAGTCCCAGGATCGAGTCCCACATCGGGCTCCCCGCTCAGTGGGGAGTCTGCTTCTCTCTCTGACCTTCTCCCCTCTCATGCTCTCTCTCACTCTCTCTCTCTCAAATAAATAAATAAAATCTTTAAAAAAAAAGAATAAACCCTAAGCTGAAAACAGTCTAGGTTCTTTGGCATATCAGTGGTTTCTCACTTTCTGCTGCAGTATATTTTAGAATGCACTATTTGGAATAGATGTATATACAAGCTAGACTGAGTGCCTTTTCCTCTGATTTTTGATTTCTTGTTTCTTTCTAGGTGGACTCCCATTATTGTCCCAGTTGCTTAGAAAATATGCCATCGGCTGAAGCCAAACTAAAAAAGAATAGGTAAGATTGGGATCCATTTTTTTTTCTGTTTTCCTCAACTATTTTTTTAATAGTTGGCAAGAAAACACATGGAAAATAACTCACATTTTTAACTAGCTGGTTTTCATTTTTTAGCATCACCTTTGCCAAAGATGAAATGTCCTTTGATTTTTTTAAATTAATTTTCTATTTTAGAACAGTTTTAGACTTAAGAATTATTGTGAAGATGGTATAGAGAGTTCTGTGTACTTCATACATAGTCTCCCCTATTGTTAACATCTTGTATTAGTATAGTATATTTGTCTCAATTAATGAACTTGATACTTTATTATTAAATAAATGCTTCATTTTATTCAGATTTCCTCAGTTTTTCCCTAATCTCCTTTTTCTGTTCCTGGATTCTATTTAGGATACCCATGTTATATTTAATACTCATGTCTCTTTAGGCTTCTCTTGGTGTGACATTTTCTTAAACTTTCCTTGGTTTTGAGGACCTTGAAAGTTTTGAGGAGTACTGGTAAGATATTTTGTATAATGTCCCTCAATTGGAATTTATCTGATGTTTTTCTCATCAGCTGGGGGAATGTGTTATGGGGAGGAAGACAACAGAGGTAAAGTGCATCTTTCATTACATCCCACCAAGGGTACATACTGTCAATGGAACTTATCACTGTTGATGTTAGCCTTGATGACCTGGCTTGAGCTAGTGTTTGTCAGGTTTCTCCAATATAGAATTTTTCTCTTTTTTTATACTGTACTCTTTGGAAAGAAAACACTCTTACAGCCGACACTTAAATAGTGGGGAGTTATGTTCCCCCTCCATGAGGGTTCTCTACTTAAATTATTTGGAATTCTTTTGAAAGGCAGATTTTTCTCCTCCCCTATTTATTTATTTAATCATTTATTTAAAGCGTGAATATTGATTTTATACCTTAGGATATAATCCAGTACCACTTTATTTTTTTGCTCACGTTGTTCCAGCTTTGGCCATCGGGAGCTCTTTTGGTAGACTTCAATATCCCTTTGACGTACCCCCATTGTTGCGTGGGTTGGGGGGGGCTGTTCATTCATTTGAGCATTTTCTTATTTTTTGGTCCTTCAAGATACTCCAGGCTCATCCCAGGACTCTGCCTCAGTCCTTGAATTAGCCATTTCTCCAAGGAGCCCTGGTTCCTTTTATTGGAAAATGGTATTAAAAACCAAGATCTGGGTAGTAGGTGTGCTCATTGTCACTGGGTGCCATTTGGTTTTTAGCTTAGTGTGTAAGTCCTTTGCTACCAATCATACCCTTACACCTCCATGGATGTGAACCACCATGACTTTTCTTTCCTGAACCCGAGAAATAGTTCCTAATAAGCCAGACACTGTTTCTTTGTGTGCTGTCCACACATTGATTTCATCATTTAATCCTCAAAGTATCAGTGAGCAGTGAACAGTGGGTAGATACCATTATTATCCTTATATGAGGATGTTATGGCAAAATATCGCGGGTAATTAGAGTTGTAGAACAGAGCTTCAGAGTAAGTCCAGGACTAGGAGTGAAATCTTAATAATCTCAGATGGTGAAAAAGTTACAAGCAACAAGGCACAGGGGCCCCTGAAGGGGAAATGTTGGCTGAGCATTAGAAAGAGTAGTGCCTAAGGAGAGAACAGAAAGCCCCGAAAAGTCACTGCTCCTGAACTGTCGTAGTTTGATAGCATCGTTTGGTTTCTGTGTCAGCTCTCTGGCACAGCAAACAAGCAGTTGTTTTCCAGACCCAGTTTCACAGCCTATTGTAGTATTGCCTCTTGAGTTGTCATTGTGCAGCTGCTCTG